AGAAAGAAAGAAAGAAAGAAAGAAAGAAAGAAAGAAAGAAAGAAAGAAAGAAAGAAAGAAAGAAAGAAAGAAAGAAAAGAGGCAAAGGGAGAGAGGGAAGCAAGAAAGGAAGAAGGGAGGAGACAAAGGGAGAGAGGGAAGGAGATGAGGAGGGAACGAAGAAAAGAAAGGAAGAAGATGGAGGGAGGGAAGAAGGAAGGAAGGAGACAAAGAGGGAAGGAGAAGGAAGGAAGGAAAGAGGAAAGAAGGAGACGGGGGAAGAGAAGGGAAAGAGGAAGGAAAGAAGAAATGAAAAGAAGAGAGGAAGGAGATGGAGAGAGGCAGAAAGGAGAGAGAAAAATAGAAAAGAGACGGGGGAAGGAAAGAAAGGAAGGAGACAAAGAGAGGGAAGGAGAAGGAAGGAAGGAAAGAGGGAAGGAGAAAGGAAAGAGGAAATGAAAAGAAGAGAGGAAGGAGATGGAGAGAGGAAGAAAGGAGAGAGAAAAATAGAAAAGACGGGGAAGGAAGGAAAGGAAGGAGACAGATGGAAGGAGGGATGAAGGAAGGCAGGAAAGAGAGAGAGGGAAGAAAAAGAAAGAAGTAAGGAGAATATACAGCGATGGAATGGATAGAGGACTAAGGGAAGGAAGGAAGGAAGGAAGGAGGGAAGAAAGAAGAGAAAGGGGAAGGGGAGAAGGTATGAGTCAGTCTTGTTCTGCCTGGCCTATTGGCGGCCATTTTCTTGGCAAGGCCTTTCGAAAGAGGGTCCGATTTGCCATTGCCGCCTCCTGAGGGCCAAAAGAGAACGACACACACACACACGCTCACTCAGTCTGCGTCCTTCCCAGGGCAGGTTGCGGTCATCGCCCTCTGCGCTCTGCTGCTGAAGACCCGGCAGGTGGGGCTGCTCTGCGCCCCGCTCCTCCCGCTGGCCGCCCGGCTGTGCTGCCTCCCGGCCCAGGCTCTGCCCACCGTCAGCTCCTGCGGGGCGGTCGTGGCGGCCCTGCAGCTCCTCTATGGGGCAGCCTCCTACCTCCTGGGGCTTCTCCGCACGGCTGCGGCCGGCTGCCAAGAGATCTTCCAGGTAAGGAGGGGTGGGGGGATTCCTGCAGGTGGGGGGGGGGGGCT